GAAGAGCCAGTGCTGTCCAAAGACGTTTCCGTGGTCATGTAGCCGGCATGACTAAACACCAAGGCGCACGGAACGCTGTTCCCTCCCCACCAAAGTGGTCCGCTCGCCCCTGGCTTCAGTACCGGGTGAGGGGGGAAGAGGAGCTGGGGGGGAGATGGAGGGGGGTGGAGGACAGGGGGGAACCAGCAGGATGGGGGGGTACTTCCCTCCTCCTGCTGCTTCCTCCTCTGCCTCCCCCCCCCGCGAGTATCGCGGGTCCCCCCTTGTTATCTCCTAATGGCCTTCATGACCGTTTGGATTTGACTGCCTTTGTGTGATCTATTTTGCTTTTTTGTTTCCGCCTTGTAAAGATTTAAGTCATCATGACACGACAATTCTACATGTTTGCCGACTTTTTAAAATTTTGCCCCTCAGTTTACATATAAACGGGTCTGATGCAATTCTGATTTACCTTGGCCTCTTTCTTATCAGAGCCGCACGCGAAAGGACATCAGAACCGGCCCTGAGAAACTGGATCGCGGGTATTTTTAGAATCCTAACTGTGAACTCTTTTGACTTCTCTCTGTTGCATCCTTCCTTTTTGCTTCATACCTTTGTTTCTGCTAATTGGTTTATATCTCATGTGTTGCAGATATATGATTTGAAAGCCCCCTCTTTTTTCTTCTATGATCAGCTGATATAAACAGTGTCATTATTTCTGCCTTAAATAAGTCCGCTTAGATGCTGTATCACACATGAAGATGTGCTGACTCGTATTCTATAGACAGTCTCCAACAACTGTACAAGGCCGCTCTCCGATGGGACTGCAACAGAAGGTTCTGGATATAGGGTTGTTGTCAGGTCCCTTGGAGCAGCCGTGGGGGACGGGGGCTACGCTTACTGGGAGTGGGGAGGAACGGCGGAAAATAATGCAATGTGCCTACATGACTGGGAAGTAACGCGGGCATGTCAGGGGAGTGACGCTTTGGTTTCTGGGCAAAAATCTATGGTAGAATTCAGGGGTCATTTCATAGAAAAAGAGGTGCAGGAGCTCATTAGCATAACTCATTAGCATAATTTATTTGCATCACTGGAAGTGTGTCAGAAGGCAACACCCACTGCTCAGGCCCCACTGGACTGTTTTGGATTGACAGCTATTGGGGGGGGGGACGTGAAGATCTGTCCCTCACAGAGGAGGGAGAGCTTGTACCTGAATAAAACTTGGTCTTAAAGGTGCCACTGGACCGTTTTGGACCGGGGGGTGGTGGTGGGTGGGCTCTGCAACTTACCTGGCTGCTTTTTGCTCTGACTGAGGGCTGCTGGGAGCAGGGGGCGGGGCTTGTTGCATGTGCCCGCCCCCTGGGCTCTTTACCGCCGGAGCTCTGCTCCTGTGTGCTCCTGCAGGAAGTGACCCCTGGTAGAATTAGTTTCTACCATAAGCTTCTCTACAGGTGAATTAGGACAAGCATCAAAAAACAAAAGTGTCACACACACACCCTGATGACCCCAACATGCCCGCATCACTTCCAGGTCACATAGACACATCATGTTAATTTCTGGTATTCCATAAGATTTTAAAAAACCAGATGTTTATATGATTATACATGTTATAACCATGGCTAGGACTTTGTATGCAAAATATTGGAGGAAAGAAGAAGTTCCATCAAAAGAAGAAATAATTTATAAATTATTGGAAACAGGTGGAGATGGACAAACTAACTTTGCAATTACAAAATAAAAAAGAAGAAATGTTTGAGAGAACTTGGCCAAGACTATATAAACGGATTTAGGAGTATCTTCAAAGATGTTCCTTATAACCATTATAATACAATTTATTATGTATTTCAAAATATTATTCTGGTATAATCTGTTTGGGTACATAAAAGAAAGATTCTATATATGTAAAACGTAAGTAGATATAATGAGTACATGCTTCTTGTTCATTTTATGTTAGTTTGTCTGTATTTTGTAGTGTCTGTTTTCCTTTTTTTCTGTTGAAAATCAATACAAAATTTTTTTTTTTTAAATCGGGTATTCCTCCCTTTTTGCAGGGGGTAATTTCCCCCCCCCCCAGCCAGCAGAGAGGTGCGGGCTGAAAGTGGGGGTCCGTCATCCCTATCTAAAGAAGATATTGAAATGGCATATTAATGAGCTCGCGGACTTCACAGTATCATGCATTGAATGGTTATACCTCAATTGTCACACTTCACTGCACTGGATATAGGGACCGCTTTCACTCATTGCAGTGTACTGTTTGCACTGTATATATTAGCACTTGGTTTGTGCGTAGTTCAGTCTGAGACAGGATGCCGGACTAGACGGACCCTCAAGGGTCTGATCCATCATGGCTCTTCTGCCGGCCTGCTTTTTTTTGCTGGCCTGGGCACTCCTCGGCCCCACAACCGTCTGCAGTCCAGCGGCCTTACCTTGGGCAAGGTGTACCCCCTGAATTGCATCGTCTTGGTGAGGGCGTGAGGGAGGTTCATAGGAATGACATCGCTAAACCGCTGGATCTCGTGGATCACGGCCTCTGTGTACGGCATCAGGGCCCGATTCTCGACAGCTGGCACGCGGTTTTTCCCGATCACGTCATCAATTTCTTGGAACACTTTGGCTGCCGAGATAACCAGAAGACGGAGTTGGGTACGTCTATACTAGGGGTGGAGGAGAATGTCGGGGGGGGGGGGCATTGGTTCACTTTGCACTTTGGCAGTCCAGATGGGTTCATGCCGCTTTTAGGCAGAAATCATGGCCAAGCAGCCTTGCACAGCTTACAGATGAAATCTATGGCCGTCGATAGTGATGTCCATATTGGCACAGGTTGTTCAGAGTTCGGGGGTTAAAAGAAATCCTTTCCCCTAAAGCGGTGCTCGGACCATTCCCCCCCCCCCTTTGATGGTGGTGATTCAGAACGATTGGCCAATGCTTCCTCAGTGGGTGGGGTTAGGAAAGAAACTCCTGAGCGCTTGGACCCTTTTGGAAAGTGCTCAAGGCTTGTGGAAGGGGAGGGAACCAATGTTCCCTCCAAGCTGTGGAGTCTTGTGAGCAAAGGACCCGTTTTCCTTGGAGGATTTTCACAATATGAGCACCCCCAACAGGTCTTGTTCATTCAAAACACTTTAGCTTCTCTAGGTAAAGGTAAAGGTTTCCCTTGCTCGAAAGCCAGTCGAATCCGACTCTAGGGGTGCGGTGCTCATCGCCATTTCCAAGCTGAAGAGCCAGCGCTGTCCGAAGACGTTTTCCATGGTCATGTGGCCGGCATGACTAGACGCCGAGGCGCATGGAACGCTGTGACCTTCCCACCGAAGTGGTACCTATTTGTATACTTGCAATTTCTTCCTTTCGAACCACTAGGTTGGCAGGAGCTGGGGCCAGAGACGGGAGCTCACTCCGTCATGCGGCACTCGGGTCTCGAACTGCTGAACGACCGACCTTCCGGTCTGCCGTTCAGCATCTTAACCACTTGAGCCACGTATGAATAAAAACAAACATCATAAAACCGCTATTTCAAGGAATGAATTTGGAAATTCCACATTGGCTCTTTTGCGACTGAATAAAAAAATGAGTTTAACATTCAATTAATTTAAACATTTCTCTACTGGGTTTTGAAGTTTCCAGCAAAGCAGGCAAAATTGAGATCCTCCAGATAAATTTGGCAGTTTCTTCATGACCGGCCCTCCCAAAGCACCCAGTGTTAAAGGACAGTTGGCATGCTCCCCCAGGAGGGCTAGAAGGCATGGAATGGGACCGTCCCGCTCAAGGTGCATCCTTTCCATTCCCATGAGGAGGGTGTGGGCTGGGCCCCAGGAACTCTCCGGAAAGGACCCGTCTCCCATCCCTTTGGCCTGTTCTCTCCCCTCCTCCATTACCTTGTACCTCTGGATACTTCATCAGGATCAGGAATCCCCACCGGAGCGTGGAGCTCACGGTCTCCGTCCCAGCAATGAACAGGTTGAGGACGGTCATGACCATGGTCTTGAGGTGAAACTCGCTTGACGGGTTTTGGCTTTCCTATAACAAAAAAACCCCCCAAAACAGAATCACGTCCTCAACAGAACCAGCTCTTTGCTTGAAGCGAACAAGAGACCAGGCATTCATAAAAACATAAGAGAAGCCAATGCTGGATCAGGCCAATGGCCCATCCAGTCCAACACAGTGGCCAAAAATACCAGGTGCCATCAGGAAGTCCACCAGTGGGGCCAGAATTCCAGAAGCCCGCCCACTGTTCCCCCCCCAAGCGCCAGGAATACAGAGCATCACTTATCTATACCTTGTGGCTAATAGCCACTGGTGGACCTCTGCTCCAGATGTTTATCAAATTCCCTCTTGAAGCCATCTATGTGCCACCACTTCCTATGGCTGTGAATTCCATGTGCTAAACACTCTTTGGGTGAAGAAGGACTTCCTTTTATCTGACTGACAGGCCTCACAAGTTTTGAGCACTCCCAACAGATTCTTGCCTTAATCCTATCGAGTCACAACAGCCTTACAGGGCAGGCCAGAATGATCATCCACATATATATAAAACAATGGCGTATACTCAAGACCCCACAGTCCCAAGGTGCCGTCCCTCACCCAGCTCAGAAGAAGGGTACCTTTTCCATTTGGATGAGGAAACAGTCGATAAAGTCCCGGGGATCGTTGTGGTCAAGAGAGGCCGCATTCACCTTGACCCTCTCAGCCACAAAATCACAAATGTCTTTGAGGTTCCTGAATAACTGCTGGTGGGAACCTGGCAGGAACTTCATGATCCATGAAAACATCTCGTACAGCTGCGGGTAAGGACGGAAAATCGAGATCTGTCACTTTGCGCACACTAGCCCTTTGTGTAACTTCTGACATCGCAAACTGAGCCCCACGGTCTTCCCTACCCGATTGTGAAATGCTCTTCTCTGAGACGGAGCGTGGCGGTCTAGTTCCTATTGTGCCCAAAGGATGACCGCACTTTCCTCCTGGTGACCCCGACATCTGCCCCAAAGAGGTTCTCCACCTCCAGCCATTTCCCTCCGTCACTCTTGATATCCAGTTTCAGGTGGGCAGTGGAGGTAGTCGGCGGTAGCAGAACACAATTCGAGTCCATGGAGCAACAACAGAATCCCCAGCATTAGTGTGGTATATTTATTGTATATGTGTATGTATGTAATGGAACAGTCTGGGAGATCCGAGTTTGATTCCCCCGCTCCTCCACATGCAGCTGCTAGTGTGACCTTGGATCGGTCACGAGTTCTCTCAGAGTTGTTCTCTCAAGAGCCATTCTCTCAAGAGCTCTCTCAGCCCCACCTACCTCACAGGGTGTCTGTTGTGGGGAGGGGAAGGGAAAGGCGATCGTAAGACGCTCTGAGGCCCCGTTCACATGGAGGATTTGCCGCTGTAAAGGCACAAATGGCAGGCGGATTATCGGTGCGTGATCACACCGCAACATCTGGAAAGGGTAGCGCACCTGTGGGCAATCCGTGGCATCCCGCCGAAGATGCGCGGTAAAAAAACTACCTAGGAAAGTGCAGTAGTATCCGGAAACCGCGGGGCAAGGGCGGGCGTATGATCGCGGGAAAGCTAGTATCCCGTGGCTTCTGGCGCCCATCCGAGTCCCATCACAAACCACATCGTTTTCCTAAGCAGATGAATCCTCTGGCCAGCTACAATGTGTGTGTAATTAAAAATACTGTATGTTGTCTTCCTTATCCCCCATGAGTATTGTTAGTCCAAATGTTATGAGTAACTGTAAATTGCTCTGAGCCCACAGGTGTGTGGGGAAAAGCGATCAATAAATTGAAAGTATTATTATTATTATTATTATTATTATTATTGATAATGATG